GAAGAGGGGAAATAATTTTCATCCTAGAAGTTTTAAAAGCTGTGAACTCCAAGTGCTTCTCAATGCATACAACTACAAAGAAGTGGTAGATACTGCTGGCACGTGGTTTTGAAGTGACATGAAACTGCTGGCTGCTGAGGATTAGTTGTCAGCCCACTTTAGATACAGAAGTTCATTTAGACTTTTCATTCCACAGCTGAATAAATAATTTTCTCTGCACAGGATTAGTAAGTATCTTTGTAGGTTTTCTTTAAAATATCATCCTGTTATGTGAGTAAATTCAGCATTGGAAAATACAATTATTTGTGATGTGTAGGGCTTTTTGGTGTAAATCGGGTGCTGCAGCTACAGGCTCAAAGTTCATCAAGGACTGCTCTTACCCTGAAAATTTTGTTTGACAGCTTTTTTGCTCTCTATTAAAAGATATTTGCCGTTATTCTTGCATTGGTTACACACAGATGTGCACAGAAACATGCACATTTTCAGTTTTTTCTTTAGGTGTTATTTGCCCCACATAAAGAATGCCTAAAGTTTCTACCTCGGTAAATATCAGCAGCTGCTTATGTATCTGAAGTTAGAGAACACTGATTCTTTTGAAGTACATCTGCATGAGGTCTGCTCAGTGCTTTTGTGAGTAAATAATTATTTTTAACCTGAGCACTTGTTTAAATTGAATGGTTAAATCCTGTTTCCCTTCAGCTGTGCTACATAATATTACTTTTACATGTAGAAAAGCTGATATTAGTGTAAAAGTAACAAATTTCAAGGTTCTTTTTTAACACACTTGGACAACGTAAGATAACTAGCAGACAGGTTTCAGATATTAAGAGCATTAGGTACTGAAATGGAACAGGAGGATCAATGTTTCTGTGAACTACCTAACCAGTACCATTATTTTGCAGACTATTGCAGACATAGAATACACTATTTAATGATATTCTCAAGTTCCTAAGGAAAAGATATTTTTGTAGTGTCTTCTTAGCAGATAGGATCTTTGACAAGGATTTTTATCCTTGTTGCTATGGCAGACCCAAAAGATGAATACCAGATTTTAAGGGATATTTTAAAAATACATTTCAGCTGAGACTTCTCTTAGGGAGAGAGTGTAAACAGCTCTTTCTTTCTTTTCCTTACTGTAACTGCTCTACTTGCTCCAAATTAAGGAAGTAGTGTTAATGTTTGCTTTTTTTAGGATAAAGTTACAAAAATCAGTAAAATGCCTAAGAAACTGTTCTACTTGGCATCAACAGGTAGATTTCAGTGCAATTCTGATTCTTCTCTCTGATTTATGAGTAGTTTACTCTGTAGTTACAACAGTAATCTAAAGCTTTCACTTCACTTTCCCAGTAAAACCCTAGAGGGTGAACCACAGTACAGATTCTTTGAGTTCCTGTGACATCTGCTGACCTTGCAGACTTGTCCAGATGCAGCTGAGTCCTCTTAAATTTCTGAATTTATAGGCATATGTGTGTGTCTGTAATTGTAAAGTTCATCACCTGTCAGGGAAGTTTTATGAGGCTACTTTGAGACATGAATAGCAAATACTTTTTAATATATATATTTTTATTCGTATATGCACACACATCTATGTATAACCACAAAAAAACCCAACAAAATGAAAGAAAAAAAAATGAACAAAAAACTTTGTCAGTTTTTGATGTAAAGTTTCTGTTCCAAAGACCTGGATGTATTTTGTGTTTGGAAATCGGTGATTACAGTCAAAGAAATGAAGAGCATGTTGTGGGTGTTGCATCTTTTCCATCATGGGATTTATTGTGGGAATTTCTTGTGCATGTGGTGATCATTTACTGAAAGATTTTGATAGTATTATTAAAATATTAATGCAGTGGGATTCGAAAGAATAACATTGTTGAAAAATACATGAGGCTGTCCAACTGTTTTGGCATACGAGCTGCTACTTAAACTGCAGCCTGCACTACAAAGCCCAGCCAGATGAATCTCTAGGGCACTTGCAGGGACCTGGCAGATGCTGTGGGTGTGGAGCCTGGTGAGACTTCAGTTGAGCAGCTCAGAGAAATAGCTTTCCTTGAGCTATGTGGTGAGCCATCCCTGGCTGCTCAATTACCAGGCAGACTGCTCAGGTTAATAAATTAAGGTGTAAATTTTTTTATAGACCACATCCAAATGCTTAACTGCTGTCTTAACCTGGGCAGAACTCCTTAAGGGTGATCATGTCCATTGTTTAGTCCTTGGAGTGTCTCCTCAGAGGTGGGAAAGAGCACAAAGTTGATTCAGAATTGGGCTGAGGCAAGCATTAGTAGAAATTTCTTCCTGAATAGGCATTTAGCACAAGTTTACATCAGGGATGTGAATGAAGCTGCAAGTACTCTTAACCTTTGGGTGTTGCAGCTGTAGTGTGTTAAGGTATGATGCCGTTTATTAATACAATGTGGTATCAACTAAAGTCTTGAAATAGCAATTGAATGAAAATTATTTTTATTTCTGACTATTGAGTTTCTAATGATCTTTACTATATCAATCCAACACATCAATTTTAATGCAAATTAGGCCAGTCAATTTCATTCATTATATGTTGTAATGTATCCTTCACTTCTTCATTCATTGCTTCTCATAGATTTGATTTTTGCCTGTCACATTAATGCTACGACTTGCTTGTAACTTTGGCGCATCATTCCCTTTCAAGGCAGCTTGGCTTCACATTTAAAAATATTCATTACTGAGTAACTTCTGTTGTCTCAAAATTGGTACCAGTGGATGAGCCTTCTGTTGTGTGATGTTCCATCATATGTTTAAAAAATCTCTTTCATGCTGCAGTGTTTTTCAGTATGAAAAAGTTCAGTTTTCTGTGTTTTTACTATTTACAGCCCTTTAAAATTGGGAGGGGTAGGCTCTTAGGACTACTAAAAGGACCTGTCTGCAGCTGGGATTGAGCCTGATTTATCTGGCAGCCAGAAGGGTTGGACTGTAGTCTCCAGAGCTAGCAAATCATTCCACAGAGCTGAACATTCCTACTTGGATGGACTATGTTAGACATTTTGGTGTTTGAAAATCTGCAAAGCAGTTATTCTGACTTTCTCAGTGCCAAACATGTGAGTTGAAATAACATACAGCAAAAATGTGCAACTTTGCCTACTAATTTGGTTCTTGGCGAATTCCTTTCAATACTGACCACACAGAAGCTTATAGACAGGGAATGCATAATAAATTGTATTTAAGAGCTAAAGGAAAAAACCCAAACTGGGTTGTTTGACTGTTTAAAGCCCCAGTTACAGCAATGACAGTATGAGCAGAAAGGAAGACAAGATCTGATGTCTTTCTGCAATTATGAATCCTTAAAGCTGTGCTGACGTATTTTGTAGCATCCTCTTAACATTTTAGGCTGTAACTTCATTTTGTTCATATTAAAAAGACCATTTTTTTTTTAGGAAAATAGAATTTTTCTAATCAAATTTAGAAAAATTATTGTTTTAGAAAAATACCAGGGTAGTAGTTAAAAATTAATTTGATCTTTTTTAGTACCCAAATCTCTAGTACCTGGCAGGGAATCACTGATCTAGTACTGCGAGTCAAAAATCATGTTCCATGATGATTCATTTGATAATTTCTAGGTTTCAACTTTTTATACTGCAGTCTGCCAATACTGCTCAAATTTTGGAAAAAACCCCAAAACTAAACTAGTTGTGGTTTGGGTTTGGGGATAGGAGTTGTTTTGTTTTGTTGATTTTTTTCCTTTACTTTTTAAATTTTTTTGTGGGTTGTTTTTGTTTTCTTTTCAGGGTGATTTTTATTTGTATGTTTTCTGGGGATCATTTTGTTTTTTGGCTTTTTTGTTTGTCTGTTTTGTTGGGTTTTTTTAATAATTTTAATTTTGTTGTTGTTTTTCAAGTATTTGCCATTGTCCTGCCAAAAATGTTTTGATAGTTCTCCTTTGCTGTATGTGGAGAAGGACCTGGGTGAGCATCTACATTTTGAATATTTACACATATTTGCTTAAGGCCTTGGATTGTATATTTAGATGTGTGAACTTTGTGCTGTTCAGGAAACATACATTATTCCCTTACAGAGCTAACAATAAATTTAATTCTGAAAGAGAGTTGAGCTGGTAGTTAAATCTTCACTGATACGTGCATGCCTCAAGTGTGCTTGAAATGATATTTTAGTGTAAGTGCACTATGGTATTTTTTGCTCCATTATAATAAAGAAATTATGGGTTTGATAGTAATGCAATACAGAAATACCTAATACTTTAAATTCTTCTGTTTTCGTTCTTAGCATAATATTGGTCATTATTGATAACTTTGCCTATTTGTATATGGATTTAAAAGGCACATTTTTTTAAAACTGTTTGTGAACAGCTCCATATTTGACTTTTTTTTTTAATTGAGGAATTTTTTTAATTGAGGAATTATGTCTTCCCACACATAAAACTGTGAAAAACCTACATTCTCAATAAATAAATATGATTCTTTTCTGTCTTAAAAGGGTGGAATCACATGATCTTTTGGAACTTCATTTCCTGAGAAGGGATACATGGGTATAAAAAGCCATGATTGTGTTTTACAACATAAAGCCAGTGAAATACCCAACCTTTTGTGGTGATGATGAGTATAAGTGCATGAAACTTACTAAATGCACCTGATTTCCAAAATGTCCTAGCAACAGATCTGTTTAACTGAAAATTTGTAACAAAGTGTTTCAGGCTATTGCTTCCCTAAGACAAGTGGGGAACAGCTGCTGATTTTCTTTGTGTTGTTTAGAGTGAAGTGTGGGGGTGATCAAGTCAAAACTAAGATTTGATCTCAGAACTAGTTAGTTGTAGCTCTCCTGTGTTTTGGCTTGGATTTTTTTAATATTGCTTAAATTTTTGGAGGTTTGAAAACTAAAAACTGTCTTAAGTTTTTCTTCCAAAAATGTGAACTTATCAAATCAAGTATTCTAAATCTTAGCAAAAGGTGCTGACAGCATCAGGCCTAGAACATTTTACCAGAAGTTAGAAGGAACCTTTAAGAAAGATTTGATTTATAAAGCATGGATCTCAGTTTTCCAAGATGGGATGAGTTACAACAATTGCCTAGTTGTGCAGTGATACTTTGGTTCAGCCGGAGAAAACATACTTCTGGTCTGCTTTCTTCTGTTTTGATCTGCTAACTGTTGTTCCTTACCTTGCAGAATAAAAAGGTGTGATGTGAGATTCTCAAATCTGGTTCACTGTATCCTCACAGTTCATAGAAGTGCAAAGCACAGGAAAGAGGAATCTGGCAAACAGCTGGCACATTCTGTTATGTTTATGGGTTTTTGTAAGATTGTGTGCCAGAAAGGAGCATACTCAGAAAAGATGCTCAGAGAGAAGGCTTTGAACACACTTCTTGTAGAAACAAAGTGATTGCTGGTACTTGGTCTTTAACAGAGAGTAGCTATACAAGTTGGTCACAATTCTGCAAAAGAAGAAAAATAGTTTGAGATCTCCTTAGGATTTAAGACCAAAAGCTTAGGAAGAGGAATTAACATTAAGTACTTTTATATAGTTTAAATTATTGAACTTTAGTTAGCATTGGAGAAATTACCTTTGTGGTGTTGATAACTTTTATAATATGCCACTGGTTCTGTTTGATTTGAACAGATCCTTTCAGTTGAAAAGCCAGCATGTCTTTTTGCATATCTTTATTTTTTCCTCTGGTGAGAAAATGAAATCTTAGGTCTTGGTTGGCAGCCACTCATTAACTTACCATAAACATGTGCCTCACAGACAATGCCACCTGGGCCATTGTGTGGTTGTTACCTGCTCTTTGTTAAAGATTAATAGAATTAGCTTTGCTATAGAAATATTTGATTCCTCCATGGCAAGCACAGAGCAGCAATGGGTGAGAGCAAAGCTCCATGCAGAGGGGCATGTCCAGGTGCAGTGGGCAGTCAAACTTTACCCTCTTACTGTGAAGGAATTAACTGTGTACGTGGGAGAGGAAGAGAGGAGAAGGAGGCACTTGTGGTTAAATCTCCTGCAGTTGTAATCTTTCTGTATTGATATTAGCAAAGCATTGCAAAAAAAAGCTGAGAGCTTCAAAGTACTGAGCTTTTTTAAACTACCAGCTGGAAAAAGGAATGCTCAGAGCTATTCATTTTAGGCTTTAACAGTCAGTTGTTTTCCAACTTCAGGTGTTGCTTTTTATTTTGCTTGTTTGTTTGTGTTTATTTTTCTTCTTCTGTTTAATGGTTGCTTTCCAATAGTGAACAGGAATTGGTTCCATGTTTGGACTAGGGACAGATTCCAAAACTAATTTTTAGAGTTTTAAGTTTTAAATTTTGTCATTAATTTTAGAGGGATTTTGGCTTTTTCATGCTTTTAACAATAGACAACATTGAAGAGTAAGCTACAATCAGGTTTATGTTTTTAGTGTCTTTTGTTCAGTTTTGGTTTTGGATCTATGCTAAGGTTGAGGCCAATGTTGATAAAGTATTTGTAAAACATATTAAAATTTCGGGGTAATTTGTACTATATGAGAAGTCTTGATTTGTTATAGAGAGTTTGCCACTTCAGGACACTTCCAAACTGTTTTTGGGCAACAAAGTAGGATAGCGCCTGTTTTCTCCTGTGAAAGTACTGCAGCTACTTAGAAGATGGCAGCAGGCTGTACTTTCAGTTGAAAAAAAGATGGGCATATCTCTTAATCAGCAGGTAGGATGATGAGAAATTAAACAGCTCTCATGGGTTGATGTGCAGTGTAATGAATAAGTGTACAGCTTGAGTCTTTCATTTCAAGATTGAGTTCCATTGAGTGGAGCAAGTGGGTTTTGGAGCGGTTCTGAGTGTCTTGCAAATAACACAGCAGCCCCCAGAGGTCTGAGATAAAACAATTTCCCTTAGCTAAGCAAACTGGCAACTTAAGGACTTTTCCAGAATACGCCATACCTGTTTTTCAAAGCAAGGGAAAGGAGCTCATTAGGCACAACTGGATTGAAGTGACTTTACTTTCAGTTGCTCTTTGGGACATTTTTCCTAAGCAGGTCAGAATGTATCTGCAGTAAGCTATGACCTGTTTTTTAAACTATTTTATTTCTGGTTTTCTTTCTAATTTTTGGTTTGTGTATCACCAATAAGGATTGGTTGTTAAAAGATTTTTTTTGTGTTAGCGTGACAGGATAGTAAAAGGTAGAAAATAGGGTAAAGGTTAAAAAATTAAAAAGAAAGAAAATTGACTTTAACCTTTGATTGTTTCAGTTCCCATATTTTTAATGTGTTTTGTATTCTATAATAAAGGGTGGATCTTACTTTTTTTTCCTTCATGTCCCCTTTTTGGATACAGTTTTATCACTGTTGTATGGGTTTCTGTGCTTGTTCCTGCAGCAGTTCATTTCAGCCTGTTGCTTTTTTATATTAGCATCGGAAATACCTATTCCTTTGTGTTATTGTTACAATACTAGCTTTGCAGAAATTTATTTGACAAGTGGGAAAATTGTAATCATGTAACTTCATTTCCAGATCTTCAGTTCATTAGCCAACTTGGCTAAAATCTATAAAACGTACCAATTTTATTCACTTTGAAGTTTTAGTAGCATTTTTGTTGTTGTTGGAAAAGTTTCCACTGTTAGTATTGTGTTCCCCGAGAGAATTTGTAGCTTGCAAGAAATCTTACTGGTATGCAGACTGTAATATCCCCAGCTTTGTATTTTGCTGTGTTGTGCCATAATAATTTTATGTCTGTTTCCATTTGACAGCTCAATTAGGAACTTATTGAAATCACTGTTTTCCTTTTTGAAACTCTCTGTTTTCAGTCTGCACATGAAAACAAAATTATTTTCTTATTAGCAGACATTAATTTGAAAATAAAAATTAATTTAGCTGTCCTGGGGAGATTTTTCTGCTCTTTGCTCCAAGAGAGTTTCTTTTTTTTTAAAGAAAAATCTATTGTGGATGAGTGGAAGGTGTGATGGTCATAATACTCTCACATGTTTAAGTGAAACAGTGTGTGTAAAACAGACTTTGATTGTATTGCATTGCAAAGAAGGCAGGATTTTGGTTCATGCATTACATTTGCAAGGTACCCTATGCATCATCTGACTATTATGCTTTTCTGGCTTTGTGAATTTTACTTGGAAAACTTAAATACACTATTCATTTTAAATACACTATTCCTGAAAAATTGTAGTTAGTTTTCTGGGGATTTTTACATATATTTTGAAATTTATTTAAATAAATTTCTGTGGACATTTGAGTTATTTATCACATGAGATCACATCTAGATCTGTGTTGATTTTTAGAGTGCAGCAGCGGCAGTATGTTAACCCTGGCATGAGTGTGATTGTAGCTGTTCCTATTTCAGTTATTTCTAATCTTTTTTTTCTTCAGCATGACTTCTGTTGCATATCCCAATAGGGATTATTATTTGTATGTTAAAACCAGATTTAGATCATAGTGTTACAATAGTCTTGGAGTAAAATAGGAAGCTATCTTTCAGTTTGATATAAGAAAAGGCATTTTTGGATTTTGATAAAATTGAGGAGCCAATATATGTGCCTGGATTTCCATTTTCTTATCAATTCTTTCATTTGTTGCTATTCATGGACAAATTTACAGGAATTGAAATCACCTCACAGGAATTAAATCAGCATTGCTTGTAAAGATCTTTTCTTTCCACCACAACCAGTTTTCTTGATTTACAGAAGAGGAAGCTGTTATTACAGATTCTTTTCTAATTTATATACTGAGTGGGAGGGAAAAAGCACTGTGTGCTGCAGATATGAGTGATTGAAACTGTTCTTCATTGTTCTGTTGCCACTATTTGAGCTCTTGTTTAGGCACAAGTGTTCCTGAGAAGGAAGGTAGGCCAGATTTGGTAGCTTTCAAAAAATAAAGGCTGTACACAAGGCATAACTACTTCCTGGAACATTAGTGAAACATTAGTAAATGGTGAATATCATAAAAGAAGGTTAGACAGCATTTATTTGTGCTCTTTGCTGGTCTTTTGTGTTCCCTCCTTTGTTATCTGTGGCCTGACCCTGCCATTTCAAGGGATGTAAAATCAAACCATCAAAATTGGTGCTAAAATAACTCTGAAGGCGTAAACCTCTAATAAAAGTTGTTTTTATCTGAGATAAGTAGAAATACTCATGAATAATGAGTATTAAAGTAAGACAGTGAAGTCTTAATATATACACAAGCACAATCTATGAAGTATTCAGTATATTCTGAATAAATTTATTAGAAACATTTGGAAATTTTTGTGGGATTATTCCATTTTTTCAGTCTTAATAAAATTTGATATACACAATTTTTTTCTAAGTTAAGCCCAGAATACAGTGTTTTCCTGTCAATCTTTTTCCTTTTAGTTTCTTCAATGTCCCCCCCCGCCTTCCCCCATGTATTCATACCTTTCTTTCTGAGAAGGTAGATTTTTTCTTTTTAATTTCATGAAGGAAGAATACATTTTCTGCTGCTGGGAAAAAAATAGGTTTTCTTCCAAAACACTAGAAAGCAGCTGTCAAACATCAGATTCTGCTTAACGTTGCTTTTTGTTTGGACTTTGCATTAGGAGGTAGGAGCCCAGCTTACCCCTTAGCAAATTTTTTTATTCAGCAGCTGATTTGAGAACTGCTTGATGTGGTAAGAGATAATAGTGTTATTGCATTAAGAAGTCATTAATTTTTGGCTGTTCTTTGTCTAGGTTTTTATCCTGTTTTTTGGTAAAGATGGCAGCCAACAATGCAGTGCTGAACAGACTGGAGCAGAAGGGTGCAGAGGCCGATCAAGTTATTGAGTACCTCAAGCAACAAGTTGCCCTGCTCAAGGAAAAAGCCAGTAAGGATTTACCTATCTTATACTAAACCTATTAACCAGATGGTTAACAGAAAATGCACATAGGAGAAAATGAGAAAATGTGGTGTGTCAGCCTTTAAAGCGCGTTTCAAGTTTTCCAAGAGAAACCTTGCAATCGTAGCCCCACTTGACTGTCCTGTGGGTTCTGGGGGTTTTGTTTTCTTTCGTTTTGTTTTTTTTTTTTTTTTCAAACTGCTTATTCTGAAATAGAAAAGCTATGAATGAGGAAGAATTAATAAACAAATTATGCAATTTTGATAGGAAATTATTCCATTTGAAGAGAGCAAGGGAGTTGGAAAGAATACGAGACTATGCCTTATCCTGAATTTATTACAGCTTTTTTACAACTATGACATTCTCTCAAGAGTGGTTCTCTCAACCTTCAACTTTGATATTTTGTACTAAACTGTATCAGTCATAAAGGTGCTCTGTATTACAAACATTGCCAAGGTTTTTCTGTAAGTTTCTCAGAATTTTTTCTTGTGATTCTGTTTAGGGGACTGAGAGGATAGTATATTGAGAGGCAATTTGATGATATAAGTATTGTAAAAATACTTCTATATGTCTATTTCAAAAACAAAGAAAATAATTCCTAAGTATTTCTGATTATATACTTCTTGAAAG